CTCCATGCAAACACATACATGTGCATGCACATACATATGAAAATACATACGCACTTTGCAGAACCTATCATCTGATAGGCTGATTCACGTGTGGTCAACACACCAACATTTTCAGTTCAATAAATTCAACCCATCTTTGCAAAGTGCCCATGACTGGCCAGTCCCAGTCTATATTCCTGGAGAGCTGGTGAAAGGAAACATAGGACCATAAAGCACAACAGGAAAGACCTTTTTTTTTCTTTTGGTCTTTTTGAGACAGGATCTCCCTGTAGCCCCAGCTGTCCTGGAACTCACTACATAGACCAGGCTGGCCTTGAATTTGCAGAGATCCACCTACCTCTTCCTCTCTAGTGCTGGGATTAAAGGCGTGTGCCACCACACCCGGCAAGACCTTTTTTTTTTTTTAAATGAAAATCCTATCTGGTTTATTGGGCTTGCTAACAGAACACAGAGTAGGGGATTATTTGCAAAAGAGTGGGCACCCCCTATTTATAGCTGTGCTGGAAAGTCCACACTCAAATATAGATCCTGTGACTTCCCAACAGCTCACAAAATGGTGAGAAATGTGCCTCATGGCGTTCTCCGCTTATGTATCCTTAGCCCCTCCCCCACATGCAGCTAAGATCAACTGATTGGGTGGGAGGGGTAACTGACTCTCCCTTGACTCCTTGATGAGTGTGGGAAGGAGGTGTGACTATAGTTTGCTGACATAGTGGTTGGAGGCTGCGTCCAGTTAACACTCCACCCCTTACTCCAGCTCTTACATTCTTTCTGCCAACCTTGTCCACAAAAGTCCCTGAGCCTTGGAGAGGGTGATAGGTGTGGGATGATTGTCCTCCCATTGTGACAAGGCACTAAACCTTTGGGTCTCTTCATCTGTTTTCCATGGGCTGTTGGCCCATTTCAGTGGGATTCCATCTACTATAAAAACACAAATAGCAAGAAACAAGAACATCTAAACAGCAGTTGCTATAACAACTTAACCTATGGGTGTAAACACAAATGCTTGGACAGTACTTTGGTAGGTGCATCACATGTGTCTAACAAAACAATTGCAATGGCTTCCCACTGGGGCCTATATTCTCCTCTGCCACAGGGGGTTGGCCTGATCTATAGTACCAGATATATGTTCCATACCTAGGAACAGCATTATATCCAATCAAAAATTTGCTTGTTGTACATACACTAGGTGCTCCACAATTGCACCAGCAGGCACATCTTGTTTGGCATGTTGATAATGTAAAATGCAGGGTCCATCATTGAGCAGAATTATAAGGGATGATTCTCCCCCAGTCATCTGTGTATCTCCTTTTGGCACCTTGAAAGCCACCCATCCAGTGGCAGGGAGTTTCCAGCTTAGGCCAAGCTTGATTTCTCCCTCTCTTGTGCTCACAGCATGCAGTGTCTTCAGCAATAGGGTTTCAGGAAAGACTTTTTTAAACTTTTTCTTTTAATTTTACTTGTATGCGTGTATTGCCTGCATGTAGGTAAATGCACCCATGCCATGCAATGCCTGAGGAGGTCAGAAGAGGCTGTTGGATCCCCTGGGACTGGAGTTACAGACAATTGTTCGCTGCTATGTGGGTGCTGGGATTCGAACCCAGGTCTTCTGCAAGAATAGCCAGTGTTCTTAATCACTGAGTCATCTCTCCAGCTCCAGGAAAGTCCTTTTTATACAAAAGGGAAAAATAGCTGGGCATGGTGGTGCACACCTTTAATCCCAGCACTCAGGAGGCAGAGGCAGGCAGATCTCTGTGAGTTCAAGGCCAGCCTGGTCTACATAGTGAGTTCCAGGACAGCTGTGGCTACAGGGAAACCCTGACTCAAAAAAAAAAGGACCAAAAAGTAAAAAATTAAAAAAAAAAAAAAGGAAAAATAACACCTGGAGAGCTAGTTGGGAATTAAATTAAAATAACAACTCTGGAGCTCCTTACACCAGCCAGATACTGTGCCAAGAACTCAGCATTGCTTAATGGGATTTTTGAAGCCCAGCCGCTCTAGGAGTTCAGTTATTGTCTCCATTTCACAGACCAGAAAACTGAGGTGTGGTGTACTAACTCCCCCACAGTCATATGGACAGAGACAACACAGCTTCCCTCCCTCAAACACACACACAGCTGCTCTGCTGTATCTCTGAAGAATCAGTCTAGGGAGTAGTAGACAGAAACAGGAATGACTCAGCAGTTAAGAGCACTGACTGTTCTTGCAGAAGACCCAGGTTTGAATCCCAGCACCCACATGGAAGCTAACAACCTTCTGTAACTCCAGTTCCACGGGATCCAATACCCTCTTCAATCCTCCGTGGGCATTGCATGACACAGGTACACTTCAACACATGCAGGTAATATACTCATACACAAAAATAAAAATAAACCAAAAAAATTTTTTTAAAGAAAGAAACAGAAACTAGACATGAAAGCACTCCACACAGTGGGATGTAGGAAAAGCAAAAAGAGATTATAAATTGGCATGTACATGTTTGGCTTGGGAGTTTGTGCTTAACTTGGCAATAATAAGTTTGTGCTTCACATGCCAAATCATCTCTCCACGAACTGAGATGTGTTAGCTTTATCTAGAACCCAAGAGATTTGTTTTGGGTTGTTGTTGTTGCTGTTGTTGCTGCTGCTGCTGCTGCTGCTGTGACAGGATCTCCTGTAGTCCAGGTTGACTTCAAACTCACTGCATAACCAAGGATGGCTTTGAACTCCTAATCCTGCCCCCATTTCCCAAGTGGTGAGATTATAAATATATACAACCACACCAGGCTTTAGAACCCATGTGTTTCCCAAGAACATTTAACACGTAAAAAAAATACAGGAACAAAAGACTCTATGTTATGACCAGTTTGAAATGACATAAATTCAGTAAACTAAAGTGATAATCAACCTCAGGCTTTGTATCTGTCATTGACAAGTTATGTCCTCCAAATCCCTGAAAGTGAACAGTACTCATCCCAGACATCTACAGCAAGTCTTTCCACTGATGGGCTTTTTATTTTCATTTTAAAAGAACATCTTATATGAGTTCTAGGATTATAAAAGTAATACATATTCATTTAGGAAAACTTGGAACATGGAGAAAAACACAAATACATATCCTGAATCACTAATTACTAGCCGTCCCTCACAGCCCTTGCTTCTTTCTGATGCATACTCTAGTGTTTTTAATAACACATGAGGCATCTCCCCATTACCAACTCCAGATTGCTGTTCACACTGATTACCGGAGCTGGTCACATATTAGGTCATCAGCCTCCTTCTCCATCTTTTCCTCTCCTCTCCCTCTCTCTTTAAGAAAGATTCATCTCACAAACTTTCTCTCTTCCCAGTCTGAAAGCAGGAACCAGGTTTTTGTTGTTGACATTAGGTTTGCTTTGGTTGGATTTTTTCTTTTTTCAATGTATGTTTTTATTGAATTTTTGTGCATTTCATATAATATATATTAATCATCCTTAGCCCCCCTTCCCTTATTTGCAGCCCTATAACCCACCCACAAGATTTTGTGCATTCTGTCATATATGTTAAGGCCTGTCGAGTTTGTGTGTGAATTCATCCACTGGTGCCTGATCAGCCTATCTAGTGTCACTCCCTTAAAGAATACCAACTTTCCCTCACCAAGTGATGATCAGCTGCCAATAATTCCTCGGCTGAGTTTGGGGCCTCCTGCCCATTCCCCCAGTTCTATACTGGTTTTTGTCTGAGTTTGCATAGGTCTTATGCATGTTGTCACCATTGCTGTAAGTTCATATGAGCAAATTCCCAAAAGCCTGTAAGACTCTTGTTTTCCTTGTGCTCATCTGCCACCTGTGGTGCTCACAATCTTTCCACACCCTCTTCTACAATGGTCCCTGAGCCCTGGGTGGGTGAGGTTATAGGACTCTTATCCAGGGACATGCACTCTGCAGTCTTTTATTCTCTACACTTTGGCCAGTTGTGGCCTTCTGTGTGCATAGCCCTCAGTTGCATGAGGAAGTGTTGCTAGTGAGAGTTAAGAGATGCAGAGTCAAATACACATGGCCAGAGAGGTCATGGATCCTAGAGAGAAACTTGTGTCTATCACATCTCTAGACAAAGGTAATTTCTTGCTACATGCTAATATTTACAGATAAGAATGCCAGTTACCACTCATCAAAGAAGCTTCTTTTTGCAACAAATGGAGATGATCACAGAGTTCTACAACTGATCACACACAGAGAATAAGTGTCTGTGAGATGCCCAGCCCTAAGTGACACACCTACAATGGAACCTCTCCACTTAGGGCTTACACTTAAACATAGCAGAACAAAGAGTAGAAAGAATACTGTTTTTTGGTGTTTTGGGGTTTGGTTTTTTTGTTTGTTTGGGGGTTTTTTAATTTTTGTTTTAAGAGAAGGTCTCCCTGTAGACCCAGCTGGACTGAAGCTCTAATGTAGACTAGGCTAGCCTCGATCTCACAGAGATTCACTTGCCTCTGCCCCCCTCTCCATGTTGGAATTAAAAGTGTGCATCACCACACCCAGCTCCAGGGACTCATAGCTCTGTGTAGCACAGCAACCAGACAGTGCATTTCCTTTCTCTTATTCAACTGCTCTGATTCCAATTCTAAGATAATCAAAGCCCTACCTTGAGGTTGGCACTCAAAGAATAGGCTTTGTACGCATCACTTTTCTCAATACTGTCACAAAACACTTGGAATAAACAGCTTAAAAGAAGAAAGGTTTATTTGAGCTCATGACTTCAGAAGGTTCAGTCTAAGATACAGTGGCACCATTGTTTGGGGGCTGAGGTGAGGCTGACATCATGGTGATGAGTACATAGCAAAGGAGGCTGCTTACCTCACAGCAGCAGGAAACAGAGAGATGAATGCTGGTGTCCAGCTGGCTTACTCCCCCTACACATACACTTTTTTTTTTTTTTTTTTTTTTTGAGACAGGGTCTCCCTGTAGCCCCAGCTATCCTGGAACTCACTATGTAGACCAGGCTGGGCTTGAACTCACAGAGACCCATATGCCTCTGCTTCCTGAGTGCTGGGATTAAAGGTGTGTGCCACCACACCCGGCCTTTTCCCTCTTTTTATTCAGTCAGGAGTCCCAGTCCAGGGGATGGTCCTACCCTCGATCAGTGAGGGTCTTTCCTTCTCAGTTAAACCTCTCAGGAATTGCTCTCACCGACACAGAGGTATGTCTCCTAGGAGATTCCTAATCCAGCCAGCTGACATCACAGGCATCTTGTGAGTAAAGAGGGATTTTAAACACTAGTATGAAGGTAACCTGTAGAACACTTCTAAGAAGTGAGATAATGATCCTTATTTGTCAAAACTGGGCTCTTCCCAAGAGGACTAACAGCTGCAGCTGACTTTCTGATTTTTTCCCTCCCTAATCAGCACCTCTGAGGTGAAGGCTACAGAATAAACAAAATGACAAAAGGAGTAAGAAGCCTTTATTGTTCCCACTGCTGTGGGACAAACCATCCCCCAAATGAAAGACTTGCCATATCAGTCATTTGGTTCCTCGTTCTCAGTTCTGTAACCTGCCCGAGTGTGATGGAGACGGTGCCTTGTTTCCCTATGGTATCAGCCAAGGGAGCTTGAATGACCAGGGTCCGGCTGGACCAGTCAGTTGGGTCCTGGGTCTGAGCCTCAGACATCACTGTGGGCTGGGTTCTCCAAGATGATTTCGGACTTTGTCTTTTGTTTGTGGTAATTTGATTTATACAACAGCTGCCTTCCACCCATACAAAAGAGGAAACTGTCAGGGCTTCTAGAATGGGCAGAGCATACTTCCAGCACATTCTAATGGGCAAAGCAGATCATGATACAAACCCAAAAGAGTTCTTAGTGCCCAATAAATCATGAACACTCTCAGTAAATGTTATAATTTTTACTCTGTAAGTTTTCATTTTGAGGATTTTTTTACAATATTTCTTCTTTTGAAGTTCTTTAGCACAGTGATTTTCTAAGATCATGAGAAAGATACCATGCAAGCTAGCTTCTTGGTATCTTGGACAACTTTGAGTAAGTCTTGGCAAGAAAAGATATAAAGAGCAAATACCCAACTATTAATAGCAAATATATTTTTTTTTAAATGCTTAAGGTAGTAATTAGTCTCCAAAGCCTCAGAAGTTAAATTTGAGAAATGCAAGTTACTTGACAGCAATGAACCGAGAAATAAGCATTGAAAGTTCATATGTTTTAAATATTTTAAAGAAAGTCTCAAGCTAAGGAGATGGCTCAGTACAACAACCTAAGTTTAGGCCCCAGAACCCATATTTAAAAATAAAAAAAGCTGGCACACTGAAGTGTGCTTAAAAATCACAGCACTAGAAAGAGGAGACAAGCAGATCCCTGGGGCTCACTAGCCATTCAGTCTCACCTAATCAGCAAGCCCAAGGCCAATTGAAAGACCCTGTCTTCATGGAGAAGTGGATGACAACTGAGGAACAAGATCTGAGGTCATCCTCTGACCTCCACAATCACCTGCACACATGTGCACCTGCATACACACATATAAATTATTTTAAGAAGGAAGTATGTACCTCTCAATAAATTTGTGTGAGAGGAAATGAGAAATGCGAAAGCAATTTAGAATTTTGCTTTGGGTACAGGGATACAATTCCCTGGTGTCATTTCTGCCTTTAGATGCTCTCCTGGCATCCTCTTTCCTGTTACAATTGCAAGAGTCAGGTAGACGAGGCATCCAAAGAGACAACAAATGGAATAGGATGTCCTGGGCAGGGTATTCATGATCCCAGGCAAGGAGCATTCTTCTGCATCTCTGGACTTATAGAATTTTATTGGCATAGAAGAACAGCAAGACCTCTGGATGATAGTGGCTCTGAAAAAAATTAACAAAGGTACATATGAAGGAGATTAACTACCTGCATGTAACCAATGACCTGAACTAGTGCTACCAATTCATTCTGTGTATCATTTTCAAGGCATTTTGCCATTTACACTGCATTATGGGTCAATTGCAGTTGAAATATTAGCCTGTATTAGATTAAGGGGTAGAGGATAACCCTCTGCCACACTGGCCACTTTTGGTATTAGCATCTGAAGGTCAGGGACCTGAGGAGAATTCTCTCCTGCTTCATCTCACTCACCAGATGCCGGGAAAGTCTGGGGTTTCTTTGATCTTCTTCACTCTGGAAGCTGTACTCTTTCCTTGGCTTCAGATACGGAACACAGGCTTGAACCGTTGTTTTGCAAGCCTAAGAAAAATAATACTGCCATCTAATTGCCTAAACCATTAGAGAATGCTAGACTCCCAGGCAGGGAAGTCCTGATCCTACAGGACTGAACCCAATCCATGATGGTCAGTGGTCAGGGCCACTGAAGATTTGAATCTATCTTTCAGGTCATTTGTGAACTTGAATTTTAAAGGACATACCCTTGTAAAATGGCCAGGACTATAACCTGGGGCATGAAGGAGGCATAGTTCCACAGTGTACACAGCCCCTCTACAGTTGTACTGGATTCTCCTTCTCTCTCTCCCGCCCTCTCTCCTCCCTTCCTCCATTTCTCCCTCCCTCCTGCTGTCCTCCCCAGTGGTTTGGAGACATTGACCCAGTCCTACCCCTGTGAACCTGAGCCAGCCTATCTAGCACTGACAGGTAGAGGGCTGGCCGGGTCACAGGGGAAAGAGGGAGATTGCATACCAGAAGCTTCTTAGCCAGGGATCACTTGAATACACTACAGGCCATCCCTAACTGCACTGGCAGGAACTCAAGGGTCTAGTATCTCAACTGCAGAGCAGAGCTGCCACCACCCTCTGTAGGAACAGCAGAGATTTTATGCAGTGGTCTCACCTTGGCAACCTGGGGGTTTCTGTCCTGTAAATGGGTCAGGAGGGAATCTTGTGTCTGCTTAACCTGATGGGTGAAAAATTTCTTCCATTTCTGCCCAGCAAAGGTAGCCAATTGCCCAAACAAAACGAAGGCTGAGTATCTCACACTGTCATTCTCCTGTGGGTTTCCATCAACAAAAAAGCAGAGCCAAGTCACCACCAAAAGACATCAGAGCACATCGCAGCTATCATTCTGGGGTGCACATTACAGAGTGGCCATCAGATCCAGGGGCCTGGTCTCTATATACATAAACAACAAACACCATCCCACTGGAGTTAGATACTTTGGCTTCTTTCTGTCTATCTGGGAGATGTTTCCGTGTCAATATCTGAAGATACTGTGCTTTAACATTTTATTCTCTCTCTACCTTCTCTCCCCCCTTCCCTCTCTCTCCCTCCTTCCTTTCTTCCCTATCTCCCTCCCAGCATTTAGCCAGGTCTTCTCTCCCTACCATCTGAGTGTCTCCCACCTATAACAGAAATAAAGATGATCCTGTTTTTTCCACAGCACCCTCTCCGCTCTCCCAGCTTTTGCCTCATCGGTTGCCTCTTCCCTGACAGCCTGTCATACCCCTCTTCTCTCCCACATAAGCAGTTTGCTCTGTGTTTCTCTTTTCTCAGGTAAAGAGACCAAAGCTCAGGGAATGTCAGGGACTTGACTAGTGTCACACCATGAGGTAGACAGCCAGTATTGAAGCCCAGTCTCCTGACCCTTAATGCACAGATTCTTATATTAACACTTCATGATTCTGTCCAGCTCTAGGAAAACCAGAGAAAAGAGAGCTGGGGTGGGCCATTTCAAAGGGAAAGAAGCATCTAGAACTAGGGTCACAAACACTCAACAAGACTGAGGGACAACTGATCATTCTGTGAATGTTCAAAAAATGTTTAGCACTGGATGTGGTTGTGCATGCCTTTAGTCCTAGCACTGGGGAGGCAGAGTCAAGGAGGATCTCTTTAAGAACAAGGCCAGCCTGGTCTATCTATATAGTAAGTTCCAGGCCAGCTACAGGGAGACCCTATCTCAAAAAAACTAAAAGAAAAAAAAATGTTTAGCATAAATGATACACTCGGAAATTGCCTCAGGGGGCATTTTGTTGACTGTTTTATCAATGAGTGTGTGTGTGTGTGTGTGTGTGTGTGTGTGTGTGTGTGTGTGTGTGTGTGTGTGTGTGTGTGTGTGTGTGTGTGTGTGTGTGTGTGTGTGTGTGTGTGTGTGTGTGTGTGTGTGTGTGTGTGTGTGTGTGTGTGTGTGTGTGTGTGTGTGTGTGTGTGTTTAGTTCAACACAACTAACACTGAAAAGTTGCCTCCATCCAAAACCCTCCTCAAATGCTAAGATATATGGGAATGCATAAGATGGTCCCTGTCCCCCAGGAGTCTGACAATCATCTAATCTAATAAGGGCACATGTCCTAACAAACGTGGCATGAGGCAAGCAGCAAAGAACAGTCACTCTAATATATATTCTGCCATCAGACAGTGCTGGGGGGTGTTTCCTTGCTCTTCTGCTCAAAAAGGGACAAGCAAACCAGGTTTAAAACATATTTGAATAATAAACTGAAGTTCAGACAACAATAGAGAGGGATTTAGGGACATATCCCCAAGACAAAGTGCTGACAATCCAGGGTGGTGATGTGAACATCTTGCTCTCCCCTCCTCAGACAGGATGGGTTTGCATTCAAGAGCAAACATCCAGCCAGCCAGAGTGGCTCGTACCTGCAATCTCAGCGCTCAGGAGCAGGATTGCCCTGAGTTTTCAAGGTCAGCCTGGACTACAATAAAAACAGTAAAAATCTGTCTCTGTGGAGGAGGGAAGAACACTGACAAGCGTGCCAGTAGCTCCACATAAGCTCTGAGTTCCATGCTCATAGCTCGAGTCTTTCCTCCCCTCTTATGGAGCTTGATGTGTGGCTCCAAAAGGACAGGTGCAAGTCATTCTGAGAATAAATAAAAGTCTGTGTTGGTGTCTGACAGGTCTTCTCTTTCAGAGAGACAGAGAATAACAGTGGCAGGCTGACTTGTTAGCTTGAGGTATCACAGACTCCACTCCACCTCAGACTGAATGCTGTACCAGTACATTGCCCTGTTTTATCCTGTGGTTAACAGAACATGTGTTGCAGTCAGAGTAACTGTTTTCAGGCTACTCACTGTCTCTGTGAACCGTGGTCCCAACCTTTCTGTGCCTCAGTTTCCTCATTTATAATGAAGATAATTACAGTGCCCTCCTCACAGGGTAATTGTAAGGATCACATGAAATTCCGTGGCAGTTGCCTATCATTGTGAATGGCACACAAGAAGGGAGGCTAACTGTTGTCATTGTTAGAGGTAGGAGTGTTGAGCACAAACTGCCATCATCATCATCATCATCATCATTGTGTACAAATATTCACTTCTCTATTGAAATAAAAACTCCTCAATGCATAGTGGTGGAATACTGCACATCTTTTATGTCCTCTATAAGCCCTGTCCCTAACCTCCCATAAACCCCCTCAGCAAGATTCATTTATAAATTAGGAATGATACAAACCTTGTTTCTGAGCAACACACTACTCAAGGCTCTCATTTCTGATACCACTTTGATTTTAACGGCCCAGAATTTTATGTGTCTTCTCACTTACATCATCCAATAAAGTCCGGGTCTGAAGGGTGATGTCTATGAAGAAGGAGCCCAGACCTACGCCCTGGATCTTGCCCAGCATGATGGTCAGAGTCTTCACACTCTCGTGGATGACTTCAGAGCTAACAGGGTCGTACAATCCATGCACCAACAGATCTAGAATAACCTTCTTGTACTTTCTCACCTGCTACCAAGGTTAGAAAAGCATGAGCAGCGCAGGACTCACTTCCCAAGAGCTGAAAAGCAGCTCCACCTACAATCTGCCAGCAGCCTGGGACTGGGACTGACCGACATTTCATTTCTTTTTTTTTTTAACTAAATATTTTTCAGTTAATGTACAAAATACAGGGTCTCATTATGATTTTTTTCTTACACATATATATCATTGTACTTTGGTCATTTTCACTCCCCCCACTACCCTCCCCAAATTTCCTTCCCCCACTCCTCTCCCAGCCCCCTTCCTCCTCACAAATAGTTCCTTTCTGCTTTCATGTCACTCATTCATATACACATACATATCATGTACATACATATATGTGTGTATGTATACATATACACACACACGTACTTTCTTCTGGATCTGCCACCAAGTCTTATCAAAATACAAACGCTTCTTATAATCAAGACCAAGAGCCCATCTCAGTCTCAGAAGGAGAATGACAGAGCAAGCTGGAGTATGGCCTCTGAGCAGACGAGTTAGGAAGGCACTTCAAGAGAAGAACATGGACCAGGGTGATCCAAGGACCTGGAAAGTACTTGGTGGCTTATAATAGGGAAGGCATGAAATGATACCAATGTTGACAGATGCTAAGGAAGAGGTGTGAAAGGTGGCTTTCATGAAACAAACATAATTTATGAGAAAATCATTTGAATTCTCAAGAACGGTGATATCAGCCTGGGTCAGTCCTGCCTGAAATTCTGTTTCCAGTGGCTGGCAGAGCTTAGGCATTCTAGTCCCACGCGGACCTTGAGCAAGTCACACCCTGTACAATCTTATCTTCTCCCATGTGAAAGGAACCAGTAGCTTGCTTTTAGCCTGATGGAATATGACAAAGGCTTCCAGATGCCTCTGCTAGTGTACAGTAACTTATATTACATAAGTTACTGTACATTACATAAGACTCCATTAGATCAGAAAGAAGTAAGAGACGCTACAAATTAGAGTCTGAGAAGAGCGAACCTCAACTGAGGAATTTCCTCCATTGGATTGGCCTGTGGCAATGTCTGCGAGGCATTTTCTTAATTGATGATTGACGCAGGAGGGCCCAGCCCACTGTGGGTGGTGCCATGCCTAGGCAAGTGGGCCTAGGCTGTATAAGAAAAGTAGCTGAACAAGCCAGTGGGAACATACTAGTAAGCAGTGTTCTTCCATGGTCTCTGCTCTTGCCTCCGGGTTCCTGCCTTGAGTGCCTGTCTTCCCTCAAAGATGGACCTTGCCTTGGAAGAGTAAGATGAAATAAACCCTTTCTTTCCCAAACTGGTTATGGTCAGTATTTTATCACAGCAACAGAGAAGCAAATTATAACAGACACCCTCCTGCAGACCTTGAAGAATCAAGTTATCATATTTATAAGATAGCTCCTATGGCTGGGGAGAGGCCCCTAGCAGACAGCCAGCAAGAAAACAGAAAACTCAGTCCTACAATTAGAGGAGTTCAATTCTGCCAAAAGCCACCCTTAGAAGAAGGCTCTGAGCTTCAGGACAGCACAGAGTCTGGCCAACAGCAGGTTACAGTCTTGCAAGTCTCTGAGCAGCAGATCCAACTACACTGTACCCAACCCTTGACCACAGACAGCTCTGCTCTGTGCTGCTAAGCCTATGAGGCTTGTCAGTAGTCCATAGTAGTTATGCCCCAGTCATGTGGACTCCATGCCCTAAGGGCTAGAGTCTTGGGAAGATCACTGGGTTCCACTTCCTTCCCCTACCTGGTCGGGGGCTTCACAGGCCATGGTACCCAGGCCTCTCATTGCCAGATGGCGCTTTTTAGCATTAGAGTCCCAGGCTCTTTCTGCCAAGATGAAAAACACATTCTTCAAAGGCTCTTGCTTCTGCAACCTCAGTTTCCAAGAGACCTGGGTGGTGGGTCAAAGGTATATTAATTCAGAGGCTAGGGAGATGGTTCATTTGTTAAGGTGCTTGCTGTGCAAGCATGAAGACCTGAGTTCAGATCCCCAATACTCATGTAAAAATCTCGGTGTAGAGGTGCACATCTGCATTCCCAGCACTGGGGAAGCAGAGACAGGGATATCCTTGGAGTTCACTGGCTGGCTAGTCAAGCCAAGTCAATTAGTTTCAGGTTGACTGAGAGACTCTGTCTCAAAAAGTAAGGTGGAGAGCAACTCAGAAAGACACTCAGCATTGACCTCCATCCTCCACATGGACAGATATACACATGCATGCATATCCATACACACATACATATCACACACAGAGAGACACACACACGGTATATTAATGTGAGAGGGTTCAGAATCACACTCTAGACTCAAAACCAAACCCATCCCCTTTCTCTGAAGAAAATCCTATTGTTGCCTGCTCAAATTTGTCTTTCTTTAATAAGATGTGTGTGTGTGTGTGTGTGTGTGTGTGTGTGTGTGTGTGTGTGTGTGTTGCTAGGGATCATACCAGAGCTTTACACATGTTAAGTGCTCACTCTACCACTAAGTTTCATTCCAAACCTCTAAAGATGCTTTATTTTGTTGGACAATACATTAATTTGATCTGTAGGTGGTTGATGGAGAAAGAGAAAAGGGAAAAAATAATACAGGGCTGCTGTGGAGGTGAGTTTGGGAAGTTCTAGAGAGAGGTGCTGCATAGCAGTGATCAGTGTGACAGAGGCTGAGGGGAAAGGTTGGGGGCTTCCCAGGGGTTGATGTGAACTGAAATCCCTTTCACAGTGTAAGATACACTGCTATACCTCCTATATTAAAGAGTCCCTTGACCCTCTTCCTCCTCCAACTCCTCCCAATTTCTCTGCTCCACTTTGGAACTAAATAGCATGAATGACATATCTTTATGGTGCCTGTTTTCTTTGATTCCTCTCTTCCTACTCTCTTGGGACCTCTGCAGTGAGGCTGATGTTCCTCTATCTCCATCCCACAGTAGCAGTTCCAAGAAACCCTTCTTAAACATCATCTTCCTCAACCTCTCAATAGTACATGACTCCATTGGCCACATATTGACAAACATCAATCATATGTCTATGAACATTTCAGGACACTTGATGTTTATCCCAACTCCTGAATGCACACATCTAAGCAATTAAGATGAGGATGAAAAAGCAAAAATAACACAATTTTGGAAACACTGCTTTTATGAAAAAATTTGTGCTCTGAAGAATAGACTCTAACTGCCAGGGTAGGCAAGAGGTGGGATGCCTCCCTAGTGAGCAGATAGGCTCCAGTGCCAAGAAGGTGCTGGTGTTCTTCAGACATACAAGTAGAGTTAGACCACAGATGATGAAAGGTTCAGACAAGAGGTCTGGAACGATAACCACTTGATGGGTAAAGCACTTGTCATGCAAGCATGAAGAGCTAAGTTTGAATCCCTGGAACACATGTAAAGTCAGGTATGGTAGCATGTGTCTGTAATACTAGTTCCCCTATGGCAAGATGGGAGGCAGGGACAGGAGAATCACCAGAAACTCATGAGCCAGCTAGCCCATGGTGAACAACAAAAAGAGAGACCCTGTCACAAAAAAAGATGGAAGGTAAGGACTGACATCAGAGGTTGCCCAACCTCCACATGTGCATCATGGCATGCACACACCTGCATTCACACACAAATGTATACACACACACACACACACACACACACACACACACAGAGGCACGTGCTCAAGCCCTCCCCCCCACACACATACACATCCAGACAAGATCAAAGACAGAATCAGTTCCCCATCCTTAGTGTGTACAGACACTGAGTCCAGATCTAGCTGTTTTCTTAGCACAGTGGATGAAATATGCAACTTCCCAGCCTCATTGCTGTTTCTGAATATTTGTTGATATTCTTTAAAATAATTTTTTTGAGTTAGCAGCAAGTTAAAACCTTCTCAACTCATCTCATCTTCCCATAAACATTCTAGTCCTAGGAAAAGAACTGGCATTACATTTCTTCCAGAAGGTACCTGAGTAGAGCGGTTCTAACGAACTACAGACCAGGTAGGCACACATCTTACACTAGCTGGGAAAGGACACTTGTGTCAGACCTTAGAAAAGAAAGATTTCATTTGCATCCTTTTCTTCTTGGGCTGGGAAGCAGGGATGGGAAAGGGCTGGCCCAGGATTGTCTGTGTTTGCTCCATGGAACTAAAAAGAAAAAAAAGGACAAAATCACCATTTGAGCCATATTCATGTGAAATGTCAGTGTCAACAAGCCTTGCTGCGCTAAGTGTGCTCTGCTGGGGAAGAACTAAAGACAGCAGGAGCCTTTCAACTAGGTGAGGACTTAGGAGTCACAGAACAGGTTCAGAGAGGAGCAGCAGCTGGGGGATTCAAGGGGGTCTGCCCTTGGATCCCCATTCCTCCATTATGCAGGCTTCTTGTATCATAACCACTCAAGAAATAAAATTGACTTTGAGCCAGGTTCTTGGCCCCCCACCAACAGAATCCTCAAGAGTTAAAGGGATAACCTCAAAATCTGTGATTCTTTTGATTTATTTATTTTCATTTTATGTATATGAGTGTTGTATAGAAGGGCACCACATGTGTACAATGCCATTAGAGACCAAAAGAAGTCATGGGATCCCCTGGAACTAGAGTTATAAATGGTTATTAGCTGCCATGTGGGTGCTGGGAAGCCAACCCAGTTCCTCTACAAGAGCAGCCAGTGTTCTTAACTGCTGACCCATCTCTCCAGCCCCAAATTCTGTGTTCCTTAAAGCTCCCCAAGAATGTCAAAGGGCACTTTTTTCAGTGGAGAACAGGGCTTCATGTAGCCCATGGTGACTGTGCTGGATAGCTTTGGTGTCAACTTGACACACCTGGGTTGAGGGAACCTCAATTGGAGAATTGCCTCTATTGGATTGGCCTGTGGCCATGTCTGAGGGGCATCTTCTTGATGAGTGATGTGGGAGGTAGGCCCCAGCCCAGCCCACTGTGGGCGGTGCCCCCCCTGGGCAGGTGGGCCTGTGTTGCATAAGAAATCAGGCTGAGCAGGGGCCAGAGAGCAAGCCAGTAAGCAGCATTCTTCCATGGCCTGTGCTCCAGCTCCTGCCTCCAGGTTCCTGCCCTGAGTTCCTACCTTGGGCTCCCAGATGAACTGTGACCTGGGATATGTAAGGTAAATAAACCTTTTCCTCCCCAAGTTGGTAGTGGTCAGAGTATTTTGTCACAGCAGTGAAGAAACAAACCAGAACAGTGACTTTGAACTAGCTGTGAACCTAGAATAACCTTAAACTTCGGAACCTCCTGCCTCCACCTCCTGAGTACTGAGATTATAGGTGTGGCCTTCATACATAGTTCATTGGGGTAGAATCCAGGGCTTTATGCATGCTAGGCAAGTGCTCTACCAACTGAAATGCATCCCCAGCCAGTCTGGGGAATCCCCATTCCCCACCTTTTGTAGTGGGGAACTTTGGTACCTTCTCCCTATGGATAAGACGTTCCTGCTCTCAGTGATTCTATAATCCTGCAGACACTAGAAGGTCTGTGTAAAGGACAGTCACCATAGCATGTAGTCCTATAATCATTGTAACAGAAATGTATGTATTAAGAGCTTACATGTATTAAGCTCTATACCTATCAGATGACTACTGTGAAGTCACTGAAGAGAATACTGGGCAATGCTATGTGAGCTAAAACCAGTTCCAATGTAGACTGTTGAATGAAAAATACAATCAATGTGAATAGTGTGTTATCTTATGTTTTTAAAGACATATGTAACCCAGTATGGCCTGATTCTCCTGCCTCTACCTTCTGAGTGCTGGCATTATAGGTTTGTGCCACCACGGCTGGCTTGTTGTCACTTGTATAAAGTAAAAATGAGGGAAGGACATGGATATGTTCATATATGTTTATGTATGATGCATCTTCATAGAGCAGGGAAGGCTATCCAGAAAACTTAACACTGCCTCTGGTGGAAATCTAAAGACAGGAGAGGAGGGAGATGCTGTTTTCAATCCTTTTGTATATAGTAACCTTATAACTTTACCACACACATATTATTTAACATATAAATTGTAAATAAATGTAGCTCAATGGTGATTCCCAATCATGCTCTGATTTGGGGGCCTCTAGTAGGCATCAGAGCTTCTCAAACTTCACTGTACACTGGGATCATCTGATGAGCTTGTTCAAATGCAGGTTCTAATGCAATGAGTCTGGCCTAGGAGCCCGGGATTCTACTTTTCATCCAAGCTCCCAGGGGTACTGTGTCAGTCAGCTTTCTATCACTGTGACAAAATACCTGAGAACATCAAGATAAAGAAGGAAAGGCTTATTCGGGCTCACAGTTTCAGAGGTGTCAGTCCAGGTAGGCTGGTTCCACTACTTTTGTTCTGAGGCAAGGCAATGGGAATATATGGCAGAGTAGACTGCCCACTTCACAGTAGCCAGGAAACCAAGAGAATGAGAGGAAGAATGAGGATGGAGTCATGGGAATGAGACATAGTCTCCAAGGGCACATCTCCAGCAATCTATTCCCTTCAACTAGATACAACCTCCTGAGTTTCTGTCACCTCTTAGTTGATGAATGCATCAATGCTTTCATCCATTGATGAGGTCAGAGCCCTCCTGATGGTATCACTTCCTCAAAGTACATCCCGCCTCTGAACATCGCTGCTTTTGGAAACCAGGCTTTCAACACACATGAGCTTTCAGAACACTTCATCTAAACCACATATACCCTAATACTATGGTCAAGGGCCCACAAGTTTAGTGGTGAGGGTATAAAATTAAAGGCCACAGACATTGAGAAGGACTTTGGGCTATAACTGTTGGCTGCAGCTTCCTGTGGCACACTGGCAAACTGATGGCAGCAGCCTCCTACAGCACACTAGTGAGCTAGGAGGTAGAAACATGTAACATGCTGGATTATAATAGGATTCCACATGGCTAGTAATAATTATTCAGATAATACAGGAGTGGCAGAAGATAAGGCAACAGGGCAGAAAGGCCACTGGGAAGGACTTTGACTTCAGTTTCTGCTGTGTTTTACAGCTATGAATATACTGCTGATTTCTTTAAATTGAGGTGAAACTCATCTAACATAAAAGTAACCATTTTAACAACCCCCAGAAAAAACCCTGTACCCTTTAAACAATCCTTCCCCTACTCCCCACCCCAAGCCCCTCGATCTTCTTTCCATCTTTGCAGATTTACCCACTCATTTTCCAAAATATGGAATCATACAACATTATGGCCACTTGCTTCTGGCTTCTTTCAAGGTCTATGCATATTGTAATATATATGAATGCTTCATTTATTTCTTATGGCTGAATGATAGTCCATCATATGGATTTATTACTATGTTTATCCATTCATTTGTTGGTGGACATGTGAGTTGTTTTTGACTGCTGTAAACAGTGATGCCAGGAATATTTGTGCACAAGCATTTGTTTATATGCTTTCACTGATTTAAGGCATATACACACACAGTGGGATTGCTAGATCATAAGGTAATTCTCTTTAATTCTTTGACCTTGACGTACCAAACTTTTCCAAATTTTAAATGGTGACTAGACTATCTTAAATTTCCATCCCATTTGTCATTTTCTATTATCCATCTTAGTAGGTATGAAGAGTTCTGTCATGGTGATTGTGATATGCTCTTCCCTAATGATAAATGGCACTATGACTCTGTGTGCTTCTTAGGGGTTTGAGTGTCTTATCTGAAGAAATTTCTATTCAGATTTTTTGCTCATTTTTGTTGTTAGGGGTTAGGTTGTTGTCTATTTTGTTTTGTTGGGACAAAGTCTCACTAGTAGCCCTAGCTAACCTAGAACTCACTAGGGTAGACCATGCTGGCCTTGAACTCAAAGAGATCCACCTGCCTCTGCTTCCTGCATGCTGGAATTAAATACATGTGCCACACACCTGGCTTTTGCCCATTTTTAATTGTCTTTTTTTTTTTAACTTTAAGAGTTCTTTATATATTCTGGATACTAGACTCTTATCAGGTATGTGATTGTCACATATTTCTTCTAATATGTGGGCTGTCACCAATCCTGATGGAGCACACTTTAATCTCAGCACTTGGAAGGCAGAGGCAGGCAGATCCTGGTTTACATAGCGAATTCCAGGCCAGCTGGGCTACAGGGAGACCCCGCCTCAAAAATAAAAAGCAAAAATATTTTTAAAAAAAAGCAAAAATATTTTAATATATGGACTGTTTTTCCACTTTCTTGATAGCGTCCTTCAGTGCACAAATTTTTCACCTTTGGTGAAGTTCATTTTGGCAGTGTTATTGTTACTCGTGTTTTTAATTTTAGATCCAAGAACATATTGCCAAATCCAAGGTCGTGAATATTTACTATTATGCTTTAAGTGCTTTATAGTTTTCACTCTTAAATTTAGGGCATTGGATTTTTTTTTTTTTAAGACAGGGTCTCACTATTAGCCTTGGTTGACCTGGAACTCACTCCCACCTGACAAACCCAGCCTGCTTAAGCAGTTGTGCACTGGACCATTTGAATCCCTTGATCTGGAAGTAGGAATTTGGTTTCCCAGTCATTC